ACCACATGGTCTTTGTCACAGCTACTGGCCTCTGTCCTTGCAGCACCCGCAGTGAAGGAGTACACAGATGGGAGTGTCTGTGTTCCTATAAAGCTTTATTTACTAAACAGGCTGTGAGTCCAGTCTGGGTCTTACACTACAGTTTGTGGCAGTGCCCAGCCCTGGCCTAAACGAAACTCCAGGGCTCCTCCTATGGATTCAGACATCAACCAATCAATGCATGACATTTCCTTAGTTACAGGGATTCTTGGGAAATGGGGGTCAATCAGCAGGAAACTCAAGATTTCTTTTTTTAGTTATTATGGGATGTCGTATCTCCTATCTACCACGTGTGAAGGAGAAAATTATGGTTGCTGCCAGTAGCCAATTTACTGCTATGAATGAAGTCAGCTCTGAGGATGGAACCAACAAATGGAGGAGAGCAGAGTGAAAAAGATCAAAGAGCCACAGATATTTGGAATTCAAGTTCTTCTTGAGTTTTTTTTTTAAACATTTTTTATTGGATTTTTTTAAATTTTATTTTTTACTGAAGTGTAGTTGATTTACAATGTTTCAGGTGTACAGCAAAGCAATTCAGTTATACATATACATACATATATATATATTTTCAGATTCTTTTCCATTATAGTTTATTACAAGAAATTGAATATAGTTCCCTGTGCTACACAGTAGGTCCTTGTTTTGTATTTCTTTTATATATAGTAGTGTATATCTGTTAACTGTAAAATTTATCCTTCTCCACCTTTCCCCTTTGGTAACCACAGTCTGTTTTCTATGACCTAGTTCTTCTTTAACCATGCCGGAAGTCTGCCCTGCTTCAAGACTTCTCAGTTAAATGTTCTGTTGCCTTAGCCAGTTTGAGTTCTATGTTACTTGTAACTGAAAGATCCAAACCAGTACAGACCCACATGTACATGGAGTAAAATAGTATGAGTGCTACAAAAGAACTGCCAGGTACCATAGAGGCTCAGAGTAGAGTCATAACTGGTTCTGAAAAACCTTAAGTGATGGCATTTGAGGCAAACTTCTTAGATTGTAATTTTGTAGCAGAGGTGGAAGATAAGAACAAGTATGTAAAGTGTTCATGGGTGGTAAAGAGTGGGCCGAATTTCTGGACAGTCAAATGTTATGGTTTGATAGAGGCATACGGCTTTCAAGGGAGAAGAATGGTGGACTGGTCTGGAGTCAGTGTGAGGACTCTGAATAAACTCTCAGGCTGGAAAACTTGAAGGTGAATAGATGGCTTGGTGATAAAACTGGGATTTCTAACAGAAACCAGGTAATGTCTGAGATACTGCCATACACGTGATGATACTGACAGTTAGGAAAATAAGGTGGATTTAGAGATGTGCCAGCCACAGGGTATCAACCTATGCAGGGCACATGTACATCCCTGGAAAGGTAAAAGGCATCCACTTTTATCTCCTGTAGTCCCTTTGAGGGAAAATACAAATGCAATTAGTAGGAATATTAATAAAGTTCTTAGAAACGGTGCAGGTGACACTGCCAGCAACAAGCTTAAAGGTTGACAGATTACCACTAAAATTACTTTGAATAGCTAACTGAAGGGCTTTTTATATTGCAAAATGCAGTATGCAAATTTGAGTCCAGAGCTGATTTGTTCATATATTGAAAGAAAGCCAGACTACTACCACCAGCTCTTCTCTGTCCTGTCCTTCCCCAATAGATCCTTTGGCTTCTCCACCAAACAATGGCCAGCTCACATTTAAAGTGAATATCCATTTTAAGGAGCACCAAATTATTACCCAGTCCCATGTGACCACAACTATCCAGCCATGTCTGGTGGTGCTTATTTAAGGAATGCTGATTTTCAGGAGGAAAACCCTCTAGAATCTAGATCCATCAGACAAATCCAGACAAAAAGAAGTCTATCTTTATAATTCAGTCCCATGTGGTAGGTATTGTGTGCACACTCTGCAGATTCTCGCTATGTCAGGTGATGGGAATTCAAAGTTGAACAAGACGAAGTCCCTGCTCTCAGGAGTTGGGGTACTTCCCTCTTGCCGACTCCTCACTCCTTACAGCCCTCAGTCTGTTCATTCTCCTCAGCCTCTGCAATCTGTCATTTTATAAATTAGCACCCAGCTGTGATTTCAAAAAAATACAGTAAGACAAAGCCTGGGGTTAATTCTCCATTTCAGCTGCCTTGATTAGCCACTAATTAAATGTTTTGTTAGAAATTCACCCTCTAATAAGCAGCTAGATTACATTAGTTATCTGTTTCTTGAATCTTCTAGAACACTCATTCTCATCCTTGGCTGTGAATTACAATTACCTGAGGGGATTTAATAATACCCAGGCCAACCCCCAACCCCAGAGATTCTGATTTAATTCGTTTGGGGTGAAAATGAGCATGGGTATTGTTTTCAAGCTCCCCCAGGTGAGTCTAATGTGCAGCCATGGTGCAGAGGGACTTTTCTGGACTTCTTTACTGTCAAGAAGTCCCTTGGAGCTGGCTTGGTTCTCTAGTGCCTTCTAAGAAGGTGATTATCATTACATGCCAGAGTGGTTTAGAATTTAGCCAGTCCTCATGGCTCACAACTCTGCTCAAGATCCTTTGGTTTCTGCACCAGGTTTCTTGAATAGAGAGTTGCTGGGTGAGCTGGTGTGAGCCCTAAGGGGTACGTGGAAAGACTGAAGGGTTTCCCTGTATTGCTTTCCTCCTGCGTTATTACTTAGAATCCCTCTCAAGGCCAGAGGCCAAGGAAGAAGGTGAGTGAATCATACCAACAGAAATGAAAACTGCTGAAAACAGGTAATTCACGGAGTGTAGGGGAACGTGGAAGGATTAAAAAATAAGAACTTTTGTTGATAGTTGCATTAAGTTTTAAATTTTATGACAACCTCCTTTGGATTCCAGGGCCATATATTTTGAGGGGTATGACTCTTCCCCATGTTTTATTTTATTTTTTTAAATAATCACTTAAAAATTAAACCTGCTGCTGAATTTCCTGAAGGTATAAATTCATCCTGCAAAGAAAAGACTCCTTGCTGGCAGAAAGTCTCTGTTGTTTGGCTTCCTGGTTCCTCTTGTCTCAGAATTGCTTTTTCTGTTCACTTTTCAGGGTTAAACCCTAGGCTTAATTTGAGCGCCTCCTCATTTCCCCAAGGTCTCTTCCTGCCTTCTCTTCCCTGCCTTATTCTTCACTCACACCATACACGCAATTGGTCATTATGCTAATATTCTCAGTATCTGATTATAAAAAGATCAAAGTAGTCATTTTATAACCACCTGTGATATCTCGTGAACTAAACTAAACACAATTGGCCCATCATTTTGTTTCAGTTGGCATTTTTTTTTGTCACTCCTAGCACTCCCCTGGTTGAAAGCAGTCATTTATTGTGCACTGCACTTTAACAGAGCCCTCACAGAATACTCTTATAAAAATCACAGAATGTGACATTTTGGCACAAATTTGTACGAAAGACTAACAACTTTGACATCTGAGTTCTTTACGTAGCCTGGTCAAGTGATGTGGTATATAATAAATTGATATTCCTTGTAGTTAAATACCCCTCTGTCATTAGTACTCCCCCAAACACTTTTCAAACATTTGTTTATTTTTTCTATCTATTGCCCTTTATATTCACCTAACACAAGAAGATTTTGAATGCTTTTAATATACATATTTGTTATGTATCTTTGCAAAATCTTTGACAAATGTACTTTTAATATATTTCTAACATGGAAGGAACCTAAATGTCCATTGACAGATGGACAGATGAATGTATAAAGATGTGGTATATATATACTGCAATATTACTCAGCCATAAGTAAGAATGAAATAATGCCATTTACAGCAACATGGATGAACCTAAAGATTATTATATTAAGCGAAGTAATTCAGAGAGAGAAAGACAAATATCATATATCACTTATACATGGAATCTAAAAATGACACAAATGAAGTTATTTACAAAACAGAATGAAATTCACAGACACAGAAAACAAACTTATGGTTACCAAAGGGGAAAGGGCAGGGAGAGAGATGAATTAGGACTTTGGGATTAGCAGATACTAACCACTACATATAAAATGAATAAACAACAAGTTCCCACTGTATAGTACAGAGAACTATATTCAATATCTTATAATAAACTATAATGGAAAATAATCTGAAAAATTATATATATATCTGCATCACTTTGCCGTACACAGAAACTAACGCAACACTGTAAACCAACTATACTTCAGTAAAAGATATTCTAAAAATTTTAATAGATTGTTGTTTTCTTACTATACAAAAGTACTCTCTCTCTCTTTTTTTTCCCCTGCACTGAGGCTCTTAAAAAGGAGGGGAGACTAAGTTCTTAACTTGACCTGTGCTAGTTCAACATGTCCATGTTTTCTCAAGAACAAAAAGTGTTTACTGAAAAAGCCATCCTCAAGGGACCACATCACCCTTATGCTTATGTTTCTAGGGTCTGGGAATGGCATCATCCTTGTCAAAGCACACAAGCACAATAGGATGAGGATAATTTTGCAGGCAGCAGAGTGCCCAGACACTGGTAGTCTTGGTGGCAGCAGTCAACCTTTGTATTAGATTATTTACATTAAGTATCTAGAGAAAATTCCTTTCCATGTCTGTAAAAAGAGCCAGGATTGCAGAGTTGTGCTGTTCCGAGAGAACAGCCAAATTTTAAGGGCATGATTTCTGGTGAATGAGATAATCATCTTGAAGACATCCATGTTCTCTCATTTTTATGTTCTTCTCATTTGTCTTGTTGCTTTTCCCTACACCCAACCAGGTCACATTCTGCTCAGTACTTGCATTGTTTAATTTAATCCTTGAACAGGTAACCAAAGCACACCCATGGATCTACAGACATATAGGTTCACGTAGTAGAACAGCACTGACCTGGGGTCTGGAAATCTGGACTTGATCTTTGTTCTCCCACTGACTTCCAGTACGACCTTGGCCCCAACAGTTTCCTGCTAAGTTTCAATTTCATCTTTTACAGACATATAAATTACTTACATGTCTCTATGGTCTCTTCCACTTTCGTGATTCTAGTATTTTTGTTTCAGGTCTCTATGAGTGTGATCTTTCACAGTGGGTGTGTGTGTCAACAGCAGTATCTGAAACTGACAAAGTTAAAAATGTTGTGGGTTGATATTTGAACTCTGCCAGGTGCTCTGTTTTTGTCACTTCTGTTTCACATTCTGAATACCCACACTTTCTCAAATTCTGTTAAAAATGGGAACTTCATTGTAAGCAGAACAATATTTCTTGTAAGAAGTAATCACTTATTAATAACTTGTCTTATGAGTGGTACTATGATTAAATGTTTTTTGAGAGCTCCTTGCCACATTGGAATTCACTGGGAGTAAGAAATGTGATAAAGAATTTAGTTTGCTGATTGGAGCGAAGGCCAGCATTAAAGGGAAAACCTAGGGGAGGGTATAACTCAAGTGGTAGGGTGCTGCTTAGCATACACACGGTCCTGGGTTCAATCCCCAGTACCTCCTCCAAAATTAAATAAACCTAATTACCTCCCCCACCAAAAAAAAAAAAAAAAGAGAGAGAGAAAACCTTTATATTTCCAAGTCTTCCAATGCTAGGCTATTCCTTAGGTTACTAGAGGCTTCCAAAACTTTGAATTTCTAATTTTATAGGAAGCATGAAAGATTGAATGTACTGCACTATTAAATTCTCAAATATTTTGAGCTGAGAGCAAAAGAGCACAAACATCTAACAATAGAGACAAACTAAGAAAATTTCTGGGACGTGTTTCTACAACCAAAATGTCTGATAAATTACTAAAATATATGAGTAATGACATTTGCAATGGCCTAAGTTTTTATAACAATTTCAAAGAGTATGGAATAAATTATTTTGTGCTTTTCATTTACCCCAGAAAATGGGTAAAGAAAGCATTAGTATTGTAAACCTAAAACTGCTCTAAAAATAGTCTTTAAAAAATAATAGCAAAAAATTTACTATCCCAGCAGAGGTTTATCAATATATAAACAGTTAAAGAACACAAAGAGAGACAGACAGACATACAGACAGACAGAGACAAAGAGAGACAGAATCTGCCTACTGAAAGGATCTCAAAACAACGACTCCCAATTACTGAGGAGGACATCTAGTTCCCAAAGTTGGTTTCAAAATTCCACTCCCAATGAAAAAACTGCAATTCATTTGAGAAATGTTTGATGCAGCTGACTTCTGATCTAAGCCTGAAAAAAATGCAAGGTGAGCCTGAAACTTCTTGCGGCAGGAAGCGAAGAGATGCTCAGACACAATAGGGTCATTTCAAAACAATATGGAAAACAGCTTGGAGGGGCTCCCAATGGTCACAAGTTGAACAACTGAAGCATCAAAGATTTATGGTAATCACATTGATATAAATATCTGTGAGTTGGTAGTGGTACCTGTGAGATTGTGTATGTGTGTGGTGGGGTAGGAGGCGTACAACTACAGGCACTTGTTTTAAAAAATTATCTATTAGTGCATGTAGAAGGAATAGTAGAATTAGAAAATCACTACTGGCAACCCTCAATGTAGTAACTGGATTAGGCAACTGTCCTCCATGGATACTAAAACTTTCAGGTAAAATTTGATTAGAGAATAGGATATTCATTCAAACTCAATGATTTGCACCCACAAATTATTTACTGATTGAATTTTATAGGGTAAATGTACTTTTATAGAGAGATCTGGCTGTAAACTTCTTAACCAAGCAATGAGACAGCATTACTACTAGTGTGACAATCTGATATGTTGTGCTTCTAATGTGATGTAGTAAGAAGTACTAATAACACTTATGTTATTGTTTCCAGGTGTGTTTAATCTGAATCCGTTCATGAGAAAGGTATCAGAAAATTCAAAATTCTTCAAAGTAACTTGTACTCATAAAAAAAAAGATCAACATCTTGAAAAACAAGCAAGTATAAAGTGATGTGACTTTTAAAAAAGACGTAACAATTAAATGTAATGGTTCAACATTCATTGAATCTTGTATTTAAAAAATTTAAAAATACATTTTTGGAATAATTTGGGACATTTTAATTGGGATGGTAGATGGTACCGTCAACTTACATATGTAGGATGATGTTTTTATCTTTAGGAGACACATGATGAAAAAGTTGTGGGTGAAGTGTCATGATTTCTGTAACTAAGTTTCAAATTATTCAGGAAAGAAGTCAGAGAGAAAGAAAGAGGGACAGAGAGGGAGATACGGTAAATACAGGTCAAGGGTATTTAGGTGTTCATTGTATTAGTCTTTCAACTTTTCTGTCAGTTTGAAAAACTTCAAGAAATAAATCTGGAAATTAAAACACACACACAAACACACACAAATATAGCCAGAGACAGATGTAAAGAAGAAGATATTTGATGAGATGTATTGGCCCAAACTGTTGACTGACAGACCTGCTAAACTTATCCAGTTTAGCAGTAGGTGGGTGATTAGAAGCTTTCAATACATTCCCTTGTACGGTGGTGGTGACTGGAAGAAGGTTCCCAGGATGTTCAAGAAATGACTGTAGTCCAGCCTGGAATTAATACCTTTCTACCCCTTCTTGCTTAACTTCAGTTGGAGTTTATAAAGCTAAAGAAACTTACGCTCTCATTCATTCTAATACTACAACCTGAGTAAGGACTAACGCTCCATTTTGAAGAGGGGGGCTTTCTCACCGGCGTCTCTTGGGCAAATAGCACCAGTTTACTTTCCCCATCCTACTTCACTGTCCTTTTTAAATTTGGCTCCATAACCCCCATTTCCATTTCCTTCTTTTTCACTTCTTGCTCTAAATCTGCTTCAAGGATTGCAGGAATTTCCTTTAAAAAAGTCTTTTAAGTTTATTAGACAATAGAATTCTTTAATTATTTTTTTTAGATTTTTACCATTTAGTATTTATATTGGACTCTATCACAGCAGCATCATTTGGCTGATTTTTGCTCAAATTCTAGTGGGAGACTGACCAGGCTTAAATTAATCATTTGCTTTTACTCTATTAGAGACATATCAGAAGTAAGTAGAATACAAAAGGTGAAATTTGTGTATTCTATGAAGTACTGAATAGCAAACTCCTAGTCCACTTGAATTGTGGAAGATAGCTACCATTCACTAGAAAAGGCTTTAAAAAAATAGAACATAGATTTATTCTTCTAGACTTTACATTGCCCTAAGTTATGTTGATGGAACAAAACTCTTTCAAGGAGTAATAGACACATACTGTCTTGTTTCAAGCGACTAGTGGAAGAAAAGGCTAAGTATACAAGTCACTGGGATCTAGAAATCAGCTGTAAGAATTAAGCACTTAAAAGGATAGGAAAAGAATTGAAAAAATGGAATCCTCCACTTTGGGACTTGAACACAATGTGACTTAGGCTGGAGAAAATATGGAAGCAACTTATCTACCCACACAAAATTTAAATCGACTTGGAATAAACTTCTATCTCATCATTTTTATTTGTAGGAAAATAAGGAGAACACATTCATAACAGTAAGAGAAAGAAATGGACAGCAATATCCCGTGCTTTCTGTTGACTGTACACCCCTTGTGAGCATGCTGCCTAAGGCATTTTCATTATGCAATTTATTTAATGCTTTTTGGGATTTAATTTGACTAGTAATACATTCAAAATCCATTTAATGTCAGATTATGTTCATCTAAGAGTCTAGTGAGTCCTGGCATATGCTTATAAATACAGAACTCCATCTACTTAGTCAGTTAGTTCCTAGTTTGTTTCTCTGGAAAAGAGAAAAACCTTACTTTCCTACACCCTGAAACAATAAGATAGTGATACAAATGCTTTATTCTCCTTATGTGTAACTATACATTGATTATTTTTTGCTGAAAGTTTTGCATGTTATTCTAATCTAATTAAACAACCACGTTTGAAAGCAGCTACAGGAAAGACTATGTGTTGGTTTATGCAATACATAGTTTGTGTGTTATGTTGGTTTATATTTTCAGAAACAAACAAGACCTAAGGTGAAACATCAAAGAACTTTCAGTCTTATACAAGACATGAAGTGAGCATCTTTTACCAGGTTGTGAACCCAAGCTAGGCTGTCTTTACATAATTCTAATTTCTGTAGACTCAGCATTTAGAAGTGACTCAAATAGAATAACACTTAGAAGGCATTAAATAAATGTTTGTTGTGCTCGCTTCAGCAGCACATATACTAAAACTGGAACGATACAGAGAAGATTAGCATGGTCCCTGCGCAAGGATGACATGCAAATTCGTGAAGTGTTCCATATTAAAAAAAAAGCTTGTTAAATCAGTAAATATATTTATTATAAATAAATATAATGTATTACTATATAGAACTATTAACAAAGTGCTACTGAAAATAACAGAGGAAGAAATATTACACCTGATTGAGGATGAAAGGAAAGGCTTCAATGGCAGAGGTACCATTTGAATTGAATCTTGAAAGATGAGTAGGTCTTAAATAGGTAGGGATGCTAAAGTGATGTGGGGACAATAGCCCATGGAGATGCAAGTATGCACAATGGCTGGTTGCAAGTGGAATCACCCAGAAATGCATCTGGCTGTGTAAGGAATGAGTGGATGAGTCCTCACACAGTATGAGTATGTAATGAATGTTTGTTGAATAATTACATACATGTTAGAATGATCATGCCATCATGCCAAAATTTAGCTTTTATTTAGATATAAATAATGATCTTCCAAAAGAGTTTTTCTCTATACTGTGTGGTATCATGAAATAAGTTTACTAAGATATTTGAGATCAAGTTGGTTTTATGTATCTCTCCAGTGTTATTTCATATGTCTTTGCTTTAGTTTTTAGGGAATGTGTGAGTAGGTTTTAATTTCCAATTGATGGTTTCCTGAGGGTGCCCAAGTGCCTGTAAGACACACCTCTCTTGATCTGAAAGCTGCCTAGTACATTTAATGTTTCAGGGAAATATGTTTTGCAGTGTTTCCTAAGAACAGAGTGATCTTTGACTTAGAAATGACAACATGCTGGGGAACAAGATGAAGGCATCCCCAGAACATGGAGTGGACCGCTGTATGGTAGCCTGGTGTGTTGTAGGAAACAGAGGTTTTTAAAAAGTCAGGCAGTCTTGGCTTCAAGCCTTGATTCTGACTCCCATAAACA